AGCCGCTGAATGGTACAGCCTAAGAGCTGTTTGAGCTGTGGGATGGTACGGTCTAAGAGCCCCCCGAGCCGCTGGATGGTACAGCATAAGAGCTGTTTGAGCTGTGGGATGGTACGGTCTAAGAGCCCCCCGAGCCGCTGGATGGTACAGCATAAGAGCTGTTTGAGCTGTGGGATGGTACGGTCTAAGAGCCCCCCGAGCCGCTGGATGGTACAGCATAAGAGCTGTTTGAGCTGTAGGTTGGTACGGTCTAAGAGCCCCCAGAGCCGCTGGATGGTACAGCCTAAGAGCTGTTTGAGCTGTGGGTTGGTATGGTCTAAGAGCCCCCCGAGCCGCTGGATGGTACAACCTAAGAGCTGTTTGTACAGGCGTGGGCCTTTCAGAAGCAGCAGGAAACGTTTCACTTAGCGCTGCGGCCAAATGTAACAGACTGCCCTGGAACCACAGCAAACAGCCATTTTTAATGAAATTGTCGGATTGCCCTCAGAATGGTTTAGTGATTGACTTAATTACTCGCGCTGTAGTTCGTCATTCAAGCATATATTTCCACAAAGATTTTTTTTGTTGTTTTCGTTTTTATGGCCCCTTTGTGGATTTTGGAAGGCCTCCCCCAGCTGTCCGATGTTATCTTGAAGTGAAACACAGCCGTTCCTGTCGTCTCAGATGCCGCACGTGCTCGCGTGCGCGTACTCGCGTGTGCCAAGTGGAGGCGATAGGGAGCAGGGCGACCGTGAAGATTCGCTGTCATGTCGCTGCTCTCTGATGACTGCCTACAAAAGCTTGGGGGTGTGGGGTGGGGGGGGGGGCAGGCCTGGCCTCTGTCAAGGTTAGCTGTGCTCATATTCCCTGGGGTGTGGAGCGGGATGCAGCCAGCTGAACCCTGCACTCCTCCCCCGCCACTGTTCCACACCCACCTTCCACACTGTCACCTGACCTGTGCCACCATTTCCCAGCCAGTGCTGCTCCTCACCCTCCGTCGCCGCGGCGATGTTCCTAGGCCCACGTTCTGAGCAGGCGAACGCCTCTCTGCCAGTGCCCCGTTACCTAGGCTACGTCCCATTTCTACAGACCTGATTCAGCTCTGGATTGCATGTTAATGTTGAATTCAGGCCCCATCCTGTAAAATCCTGCTTTGTTCCCGATGTCCATTAATAACGAGGCCGTACAGCATTGCTCTCGTGTTTATCCGCCAAAGAGAGACCCGTTATCGC